GCAACACCCGAAGAGTGGTCATATTCGGGGTGGGAGCGTAGGTCTGGAGTGAGGGACGACTCAGGAGGCTGTGGTAGGACCGGCGGAGGAGGAACACGAGAGCGGAGAACAAGGTGAAACGGGCCGTCTGCACAGTAACGAGACCGATAGGGCTCTGGAGAAACAGCACGACTGACGGGAGAACGACGCGTCCACGGGGATAAGGAAAGGGACTCGGCAGGGGGAATAGGAGGGGCCGGTAGGGGACCACGAACAAAGCGTGCAGGTGCTGGGTCGGACGGGTCGCGCAGCCGCCGCTGCGCTGCCTCCTCTGGCGTTTGCTACGACGTCACCTGCCCCTGCTGCTGCTCTTGTGGCTCCTCCTCTGCCCTCTCCTGCTGCGGCTGCAGCTGCACCTGCTGCTGCGACCGGGACTCCTGCTCTACCCTCTCCTGCTGCGCCCGTGATTCCTCCGCTACTCTCTCCTGCTGTGGCTGCAACAGCACCTGCTGCTACGGCCGTGACTCCTGCTTGACCCTCTCCTGCTGCGGCCGTGACTCCTCCTCTACTCTCTCCTGCTGTGGCCTCAACTGCACCTGCTGCTGCAGTCGTGACTCCTCCTCTACTCTCTCCTGCTGTGGTTGTGGCTCCTCCTCTACCCTCTCCAGATTGTGAATGCTGCTGCTGCTGCTGCTGCTACTGCTGCTGCTGCTGCTGCTGCTGCTGTCGTGCCCTCTCAAACCGCTCCCGCTCCTCCCTCTCTAACCGGTCTAGACACTGCACACGGGTCAGGAAACGTACAGTGCACCGTGTAGGCATCGCAGTGCCCGTGTCTCCGGCTCCAGCACCCCCTGAACCAGAACCTCCACCAATAGCCTCCAATACCTCCCTCATGAACACCCCCAGGCTCCGCAACAACCGGCCGGAGAGAAGAACGAGGAGGGAACTGCGGGACGGACGGGAAGCCAGGGGGTGACGCGGGGCGAGGCCGCCGACTCGAGGCTGCCGTGTCCTCCACGGGAGTGACCTCCACGCCCACACCCCCTGCACCCCCAGAGCCGACACCAACTGCTCCAGCAGCCCCAGTACCCTCACCCTCCGCAACTACACCTCCCTCACCCCCAAACACGACAAGGACTAGACGCTTCGCTGCGGGGGGGACGACTGCGGAGTGACGTGCGACACACCTGACGGGGCAGGACGCGAAGGGGGGGGGGGGCTACCAGGGCGACTGGGGGGGGCTCAAGGGTGAGTAATAGTGGGGGGGAAAAGACCTCAGTACCTCGGTGGGGTCGACTCCTATAGTAACAGACAGACTCGTCGAACGTGACGTCCTGAGAAGCGAAGAACTGGTGGGTGGTCGGGTCGTAGAACACCCAGCCGGAGGCATCCAAAGGGAAGCCAAGAAAGACGCAGGGACGAGTGCGCGTAGACAACTTGTTCGCGCCAGGGGCGCGAACGTGAGCCAGAGAACCCCAGACTCGGAAGTCAGCTGCTGCGCCCGGGGAACCTGTCCAAAGGGAGACCGGCGTCACCCGTGGCCGTGCGTCACTGGGCCACAGGTTCAGCTGGTGTGCGGCGTAGCAAACTGCCTGAGGCCACAGGAACTGGGGGGCACCGGCATGGCACATGGAGGTCCGGGCAACCTCCATGACCAGGCCGATGCGTCGCTCAGCTACCCCGTTCTGCTGCGGCGAGTCTGGTAGCGTGTAAGACTGGATGATCCCCCGACCCTGACAGAACGTCTCCTGGCGAGTGGAAGAAAACTCACCACCACGGTCCGAGTGTAGGCGGAGCCCACACAGGCCCTGGTCTCCACCCCTCGCTAGTAGCCACGGCTCGAGGACGGTAGGCACGTCGGCCTTCCGTCGCAAGGGAAAAATCGTGGTGTAGCGGGAGTAGTCGTCCACCACAATCAGGAAGTAGCGCTGCTGACGTGGGCCAAGGACCGGGGAGGGGCTCCAGACGTCCAGGTGCAGGGTCTGTAAGGGAGCTGTGGTGGGGGGGAACGGAGGAGTGAGGGGCAGCGCGCTGCCGACCCTGGACGCAAGGAGTGCACAGCGGCGCAGGCGAGCGGGGAAGCGGGGCGAGCGACTCTGGGAGACCTGAGACCAGACGGTGACGTACCATCCTACTGAGACGCGGGAAGGGCGGGTGACCTAGATGGTGGTGCCAGAGGACCGACGGGTGGGTGAGTGACCGACAGTCGCACGACACAGCAGCAACCTGACCTGACCTGACCTGAACTAAGTGGTGAGACCCTGTGTGCAGTGAGTACAGACCGGAGCCTGGCTCCTTGTGGAAAGTGGCCAGAGGCGCCCCAGTGATACCGATTGTGCAGGAGGCAACAAGCTCGACTAGAGGGAAAGTGGTGACTACTCCGAGGTCGTGGAGGTGACTGACACCCACCAAGTTCCTGGAGAACGAGGGGGTGTAGTAAACTGTGAGGAACCCATAGGGAGCCGCCGGACACGGGAGGGTGGTGGTGCTGTGAGCAACCACTGGTCCCGCTGTGGAGTCAGCTAGGGCGACAGAGACAGGAGTGCGTAGTGGTGTGAGGTCTGTGCAGTCGCGAAAGAAACAGCTGGACGCCCCAGAGTCGAGCGTGAACGACAGAGACGCAACCCCGGTGATCGAACCTGTGCAAGCTACGCTAGCAGGAAAGCACTAGCAACCTCTACAGCACCTAAGCTAGACAAATAAGAGTAATAACCAGAATGCTCAACACTAGAGTCATCAGCATACATCACGGAGACAGATCGCAAAGCATGGTCTAAGTCTACTGCAGACATGTCAAACAACTGCGGACCAACGGTGTGAGCCAGCGAGTGCCAGTCGAGGGGGGTGCGACCAAGGCCGAAGTGTGCACGGTAGCGGTCCGTAAGCTTCGCAAAGCACTGACCCGGAGGTTGGAGGCGGCCACAGGGGTCGTCTCGACGTGACCCAGTCTGGACCCAGTACTGGCAGGGAGTCAAGGCTGGACCACGCGACGACCAGCTGGACGGGCAACTGCTACGGGCAGTGTTCCCTGGTCCGGTCGACCTCCACTGCTGCTGCGGGGGCCACTGCTGAACCTGCTGCTGCTGGCCCTGGAGCAGCTGCTGCCGTGGCTGCTGCTGCTGCTACTGCTGCCGTGGCTGCTGCTGCTGTTGCCGTGGCTGCTGCTGCTGCTAAGGCTGCTGCTGCTGCTGCTGCTGCTGCTAAGGCTGCTGCTGCTGCTGTGGCTGCTGCTGTGGCTGCTGCTGCTGCTGTAGCTGGTGCTGGGGCTCCACACTCCCCAAGCCAGGACCCCCACCTCCACTACCACCGGAACCGCCACCTCCTCCACTCCCTCCACCTCCTCCACCACCACCCCCACCGCCACTCCCACCGCCACCACCACCTCCTCCTTTCTTGCCGCCCTTCTTGCCCCCCTTGTTGTCAGAGGCAACGGCTGCCACCTCTATCGCAGTAGCAACAGAGGCCGAGGCCACAGAGGAGGCAAGGAAGGACGGGGCACACCCCTCAAAGATAGGGGGGAGGACAGCACCAGTAGTGGCAGCAAGGGACCGAGCAGGACCCTCTACTGCGAGGAGCTTCTCCTCAAAGAGGTCAATGGTGAGGGTCGGTGGATCAACGGTGAGAAAGTGATCACGAACGGTTTTGAATCGGGCAGGGAGACGGGAGGCTAGGAGGTACAGGGTCATGTACATTGGGGGGGGAGGGGGGGGGTTCTTGGCGAGCAAGGCAGGGTCAACAAACGCAGCACGGAATTGAGCATCTAGGGAACGCAAGTGTAGGATCAGGTCAGCCACCCTAGCGAACGACGGGAGATCAGGAAAGAGAAAGGGGACCCTCAGCCTTTCAGGGGTGCTGGAGGTGGAGGTGCTGGAGCTGGAGGTGCTGGAGCTGGAGGTGCTAGATTTGGAGGTGCTAGTTCTAGGGGAGTTGGAGCTGGAGGTACTGGCACCGGAGGTGCTGGTTCTGGAGGTGCTGGAGTCGGAGGTGCTGGTTGTGTGGATGTTGTAGCTGTAGACATTGGTGCTACGACCCCTATTCCGGCCGGCCCCCGTTACCTGACGAGGTTTCAGCGTTAGCAGCAGCAGGAGCAGCAGAAGCTACACCAGGAGCAGCAGCAGTAGCAGCAACAGCCGCAGCAGCTGCAGACGCCGCCACAGCCACTGGTGCAGCGCTCGTCGCCACCTGTGAGTGGTCTTCGGACCCTTGGCCTTCCTTCCTCTCCTCGTAGCCGCTCACCGTCTCCTCCTGCTCAAGCTCCTAAGTTTCCTCCTCCGAACTCTGTTAGAAGGAAATGCTGCCATGAGCAACAAAATGTCGGCACTGGGATTCGAACTCGTGACCTTCAAATCTGTCTTGAAAGTGTCTCAGGACAGATTCAGGACAGTTTCTGCTAAGGCGCTGGTTATGGTGCACGCGAGTTTCGAACTGGAGACCTTTCGATTCAAGTGTCCCGAAAGTGTCTTGTCAGGACAGATTGGGGACAGTTTGGGGACAGATTGGGGACAATTTGGCGAAATTGACCTCGGGTCGCGTTCGGTTTGAAACTCGGCAACGAAGTGTCGAAGTCAACGGAATTCGCACGGGAGTTACAGTCGGTGGTCGACGGAATTCTGGTCGCGGAAAGTCTCGTCTATGGAATTACAGTCAATGGAATTCGCTCGGCGAGATTCAAGGCTCGGAATTTCGCGTCGACGAAATTCAGCGCGCGACCCGGGTCGACACTTTTGTGTGTGCTTTTATTTTGTATTGCGTCCTAGTATAAAACCAGAGAGCACAAACCAGAAATCAACTAAGTCATTATCACTGCTATGTTTGTGTGCAACTCTGGCTATAGTGGATCATTTCCTGCAATCTTTGGTGCGTTGGAATCGTGCTTTCGAGCTCTATCAATCTGCTATAGTATTGGAATTCTACATGGTATCAGATCTGCGTTATCTGCGTCGATCCCACTAGTAGCTTGATTCCGTCCTCCCGTCACTTCGTTCCTACGTTGGTGTGGCTGACGCTCGTTTCGACCGCGGATGGAGTGGTTAACGAGCGCCGAGGGCATGAATGCCCGTCAGGAGCTGGAGGCGTCTGTTCGTGAGCACCACCCTAACTTGCGTGATGAGGAGATCGACCTCATTGTGGACGGTCGTCTACTACGCATGGTTCGGGAGCGCGCGGCGGAGCAATCACCTGCGGGCGGCCAGCAAGGGGGAACTGGTGGGGGAGGAGCTGAGCACGAGCCTCCTGGTGCCATGGGCATTGGTGGAGGAGTTGTTGCACCATCCATTGACACGGGAATGATCGGCACGAGCTACGGTCAATTCAAGTTTGGAGTTGAGCACATCTCCGTGACGCCGCTGCTAGAGGGAAGGCACGACCTTACCGCGTGGGTCAGCGCTATCCGACCTCAGCTCCAGTGTGCTGATTTATGGCAGTTTTGCAACGGGACAGCACCAAGCCCGGCCCCAAACAACCCCTTGCAACGAAGGGAGTACGCAAAGGGCCAAATGCTTGCATTCATGGTGCTGAACCGCTGTTTTTCTCCTCCCATCCGAATGTCTATCTCTGGTTTCTCTCAGCAAGAGAAAGCCGGGCAGATAGGATGGGCATATATCTTGTCTACTTATCAAGCTCGTGATGCCCTCCACGCTTCCCTACTTCAGACCCAGTTAGCCCAACTCAGGAAGGGAGATGATGAAACGGCGGAATCCTACTGCAATAGGGCCCGCACCATCCGAACGGAGCTGCTGACCATTGGACAGGAGGTCCACATGGCCACGTTTGCCGCTCACGTGCTGAAGGGCCTGCCACCGGAGTACGGATTTCTTTGCCGCAAGCTCGACATTTCCAGCCCTGGCATGACGGTGGAACGCCTGTGCAGCGAGGTGTTGATGGAGGAGCAGGCTCTCTCCATCGAACAAAGTTACAAGCAGATCACCAGCGATGCATCTGCTTTCTCGGGCGCTGTCAACACCATCGTGGCTACAACGGGGGTCAACTGGAAGGAAGGAAAAGGGGGAAGAGAGCAGACGGACAAGAAGAAGGATGGCAAGGGGCGCTGCTACAACTGCAATGAGGAGGGGCACATGGCTGCCAAGTGCCCCAACAAGAAGGAGGATACAACGCCCGCGGCAGCCGCGAGTGTAGCTGAAGGAGACGGGAAGGGCGTGGCGCTCACCGTCGCGTGTTCGGCTGCAAAGTTGCTGGCCAACGACAAGGACTTGTGGTTCCTTGACTCGGGATGCTCCCAACACATGACCGGCCGCAAGGAGTGGTTCACGGTGATCCGTGACCCATCTGCAACGTAATCCGTCAAAGGGTTTGATGGTTCTATGTAGGAAGTCGCCGGTGTTGGTGAGGTTTTGCTGGAGGGCACTAACGGCTTGCGTGTGACCCTGCATGATGTCCTCTTTGTGCCAGGAAGGCCAACTTGATCTCCCCTGGGCAGCTCATGGACAAAGGAGAAAATCTGCAATCCGAAGAAGGTGTCACCCGCATCGTCGCATCGGGAGGACAAGTGGCTGCAACGGCACGCTACTGCCATCGTCTTCTCTGCCTTGACCTGAAACCGTGGCCAGCAAGCAACGGCACAACGGCTGCAGCGGCATGCAACGGCACGGTGGCTGCATCGGCTTGCAACGGCACGACGGCTGGAGCAGCATGCAATGGCACGGTGGCTGCAGCGGCATGCAACGGCACGGCGGCTGGAGCGGCATGCAACGGCACGGTGGCTGCAGTGACATGCAATGGCATGACTAAGGCGGTTACTGACGGAGCGGCCAGCCTCAAGACGTACGCGGTGGGCTCCAAGGCAACGCCCAGCCTGTGGCACGCTCGCCTTGGACACGTCCACTTCGATGCGGTGAAGCGGACAGCCACGAGCGGTGGCGTGTTAGGGATGGACCTGGAGAAAGGAGGTGAGGATATGCCGTGCAACTCTTGCCATGAAGCCAAACTCACTCGCGAATCATTTCCGCTGCACGACGAGCGAGAGGAGCAGGCTCTTGGGCTGGTCCATACTGACGTGTGCGGTCCATTTCAGACCCCAGCCATGGATGGAAGCAGGTACTACATTCTGTTCGTGGACCACGCCTCATGTTACACCTGGGGGAAGACGTTGAAGCTAAAGAGGGATGCGCTTGCTGCCTTCAAGGAATGGCTTCCCGAAGCTGAACGCCAAACCGGGATGACGCTGAAGGTGTTGCGGTCGGACCGGGGAGGGGAGTTTATGTCGAATGAGTTTCTGTTGCTGCTGAAGCAACGAGGAATCTTGCGTCAACTTTCCTGCCCCTCGACCCCCCAGCAGAACGGTGTGGCTGAACGCCGCAACCGTACGGTAACCGAGGGCATGCGTGTGATGTTGGGGCACATGGGGCTGAAAGCACACTGGTGGCACTTCGCTTTCCAGCAGTTCTTGTGGGTGGTAAACCATGTGCACCAGTCCACCCTGCCCCATGGTGTGACCCCTCATTTGGTGGTGTTCAAAGTCAAGCCCGATGTGTCCATGGTCCGTGTGTTTGGGTGCATGGTGCAATACCTCATTCCTGAGCATGAGCGTGAGGGGAAGCTTGCAAGCAAGACTCATTGGGGCATGCACTTGGGCATGAGCATGGAAAGCAAGGGATGGCGTGTGGTGGATGTTGAGTCAAAGCGCATGGTCATCACCCGGGATGCACGTTTTTATGAGGACATGTCACTTGAACGGTGGCAGAAGTGGCGTGCACGCGTGGGTGACGGGAATGACCAGCCCACACCACCCTTTGCTTCAGTCCCATCTCTCTTTCCTGAGCCCCATGACCCCGAGCAGAATCCGCCGCCACCACGTACCGTCATCGTGGTCCCGGTACCGTCCGTGCAAGGGGGCGAGCAACCCCTTAATCACTCGGTGGGCCTTTTGGGCAGCAAGGCACCTACTGCACCTCCTCCTCTTGGTCCACCCTCCGTTGCTGATTCGGTGCCCGTGGGACCAGAGGATGGTCCTCTGGAGGTTGGCACCAGCATGGCTGATCACGAGGAAGAAGAAGAAGAAGTGGCAGTGGATGAGCAGTCACCAATGGCCCATGAGCATGAGCCTTCACCTGCAGGTCCCCCCATCCAGCCCATTCCACCACCCTCACGTCGCTCCAACAGGCCTAACAATGGGGTGCCACCCGTACGGTTTCAGCCATCAGCCATGACGGCCCAGACGGACGATGAGGACAACCCGTACGACGTGGCGTACCTTGCTGAGGACGATTGCGACATGGACAGCGATGACGAAGTGGAGTACCCGGACGAGGATGAGGAGGAGGAAGGCGCTTGGGGAGGTGTCATCCTTGACCTGGCAGCTGCGTTGACCGGACCTGAAGGCAAGGAATGGTGGGCTGCTATGAAGGAGGAGATGGAGAGCCTTGATGAGCAAGGCACTTGGACGTTGGCCGACCTACCCAAAGGTCGCAAAACTGTCGGCGTCAAGTGGCTGCTGAAGAAGAAGCTGCGACCTGACGGTACCGTGGAGAAGTACAAGGCCAGGCTCGTGGCAAAGGGATTCAGCCAGCGCTTCGGCATCGACTACGACGACACCTATGCTCCGGTTGGCAGCTACACCACCGTTCGTGTGCTCCTCTCAATCGCAGCAGCTATGGACCTGGATTTGCTGCAGCTTGATGTGAACAATGTGTTTCTTCACGGCACCATCGACCACTAGATCTACATGCAGCAGCCGCCCTACTTCACCGACGGGAGCAGCAAGGTGTGCCTCCTGCAGAAGAGCCTTTACGGGCTAAATCAAAGTCCCCTTCTGTGGTACAAGGAGCTAGACAAGGTGCTCCTTGTGGAGGGGTACAAGAAGAGCCTTGTGGACCAGGCCCTATACTACAAGGATGGGGCGAACGGGAAGCGCGTGTGGCTGCTAATCTATGTGGATGACCTGCTAGCGGCAAGTGAAGACAAGCAGCTGCTGCAGGACCTGAAGGAGCTGCTGGCCAAGGCGTTTCAGCTCCGTGAGGTGGAGCCAGTGGAGCGCTACCTGGGGCTGCAGATTGTGCGCGACCGCCCCAACAGGACACTCCTCCTGCACCAGAATGCATACGTGGCGAAGGTGCAGCAGCGGTTCTTCAAGGGGGTGCCACCAAAGAAGCAGCCGATCACTCCTCTCTCCTCTGCCAGCTTTGCCAAGCAGGATGCCGGGCAGTTTGCCAACCGTACCATGACCGAGTACTTGTCAATTCTCGACATGGTGCAGTTTGCAGCCATCTCAACCCGTCCTGACCTCTCTTTTGCGTGCAGCCGCCTTGCAGCAGGTGCACACCTCAGGACGGATGCGCATTGGCATGAGCTCTTTCGCACACTCTCCTACTGGGCTGCCTCACCGGACATTGGGCTGCTGTTCAAGGGAGGACCAGAGAGTTTGACTCTCGTGGGGTATGCGGATGCGGATGATGCGGGCGACAAGGAGAACCGGTCGTCCATGGGAGGCTACCTCTTTAAGCTTGGGGGAGCTGTCGTTTCCTGGCAGGCCAAGAAGCTACAGGGTGCAACCAAACTTTCCTCCACCGAGAGCCAGCTTGTGGCTGCGGTGGAAGCGGGAAAGGAGGGGCGCAAGCTAAGGTTCCTGCTGTGGGAGTTTCAGCTGCTAAAGAAGGGTGTTCCCACCACCCTGTACGTCGACAACATGTCAGCTGTGCAGCTCAGCCAGGCGGGCGGGCTGCAGGGGCGCATGAAGCATGTGGACCGTCGCCACATGTGGCTGCAGGACATGGTGCGCATGAAGAAGTTGGAGCTGCAGCATATCCCTACGACGGTGCAGCCCGCGGACTTCTTCACAAAGCGGCTCGACAAGGCAGCCTTCAACCGATGCTGTGCAGCAGCCGGGCTGGTGCAGCGTGCTCCTGACAGCAAGGGGGCGTGTTAGAAGGAAATGCTGCCATGAGCAACAAAATGTCGGCGCTGGGATTCGAACTCGTGACCTTCAAATCTGTCTTGAAAGTGTCTCAGGACAGATTCAGGACAGTTTCTGCTAAGGCGCTGGTTATGGTGCACGCGAGTTTCGGAACTGGAGACCTTTCGATTCAAGTGTCCCGAAAGTGTCTTGTCAGGACAAATTGGGGACAGTTTGGGGACAGATTGGGGACAGTTTGGCGAAATTGACCTCGGGTCGCGTTCGGTTTGAAACTCGGCAACGAAGTGTCGAAGTCAACGGAATTCGCACGGGAGTTACAGTCGGTGGTCGACGGAATTCTGGTCGCGGAAAGTCTCGTCTATGGAATTCCAGTCAATGGAATTCGCTCGGCGAAATTCAAGGCTCGGAATTTCGCGTCGACGAAATTCAGCGCACGACCCGGGTCGACACTTTCGTGTGTGCTTTTATTTTGTATTGCGTCCTAGTATAAAACCAGAGAGCACAAACCAGAAATCAACTAAGTCATTATCACTGTGAGAAGAAACGAGGAATGAGAATGACTAAAGGAAAGTTGGGTACAAAAAGCAAACCCTAGAAAACTGTACCCCATATATGCTACCCCACTATAGCCTACAGTAGCTATGTCATATAAATCTGACACACCCCCATAGGCAAAGTGGGGGAGAACAAGGGGTCACAAGACCAGTCAAGCAAAGCAAAACAAGCTCAGGGTGGATCACAAAGTCACCACACATTCCGAGCACAAGTTCAAGGCCACAAGGCCAGTTCACATGCAGGATTGCATATATATATAAGGCTAGACAAGCAAGAGCAGGTGTATATATATATGCAACAGTACAAGCAAGGTCAAGGGGTGAGCAAGTGAGGCAAGGTAGGCACAAGACCCAGCTGAGTACAGAAGCGCTGATGATCACAAGGCGGAAGTGCCTTGGTGAAGATATCAGCAGTCTTGGCCTCAGAGGCCACGTACGCAAGCCGTAGCTGACCACGCTGCTGTAGCTCACGAGCAAGGAAGTAGCGGAGAGCAATGTGCTTCGTTCTGTGCTCCAGTCTCTGCTCTCGACACAAGGCCAGCATGGCCTTGTTGTCTACGTACAGCACTGGAGGAGAACGAGGCGGCTCTCCGAGGTCAGTCAGCAGGTAGGTGAGCCAGCGAAGCTCCTGTGCAGCCATGGCCCCGGCGTAGATCTCAGCCTCACAACTGGAGCCGAGAACAGAAGACACGCGGGTAGCCCGCCACGAAACAGAGCCGGAACCAAGGCTGAAGGTGTAACCCTGTGACGACCGCTGCGTAGCCTGGTCGTCAGCCCAAGAAGCGTCTGCGTGCCTAGTGAGGACCACTGGACTCTGCCCTCCAAGCACAAGCCCCATGCCCGACGTAGTGCACAAGTAGCGCAACACCCTCTTCGCTGCAGCCATGTGCTCCGGTCTGTGTCTCCCAGGAGCAACATAGCGTGCAAGAATGCTAAGAGGGTATGCAAGGTCAGGTCGTGTGCAGGTCATCAGGTACATGAGGCAGCCAACAAGCTCTGGGTACGGGCCACTCGACTCTACGGACTCATCCGAAGGCAGAGCTGAGAGCGAGTGGCGAGTAGGCAGAGGAGTGGCCTGAGGCGAGGAGTACGTGAAGCCGAAGCGCTGAAGGACCTGCTGCACCATGTGTGACTGAGTCAGGGTAATGGTGCGGCGTGCTCTGTCCCGGGTGATCTGCAAGCCAAGGTAGCTGCGCAGTTCACCCAGGTCTGTGCACGTGTGTCTCTTCTGCAGCTCGGACTTCACGTGGGCGAGTCCAGCAGTGTCAGCTGTGGCGAAGACCAAGTCGTCGACGTACACGAGGATGTAGAACGGCGGCAAAGAAGTGTCGGTGCGCAGAAACAGCGACGGGTCGGCAGTAGAGGGAGCAAACCCAAGAGCCGCAAGTGTAGTCCTCAGTGTGTCGTGCCACTCACGCGGTGCCTGGCGGAGACCGTAGACTGGCCGCCGGAGGCTCCACTGGGTGCCAGGAGGAAAGGACCCAGTGAAGCCAGGTGGGCGACGCAGCCAGATCTCCTCGTGCAGGCTGCCCTGCAAGAAAGCAGTGCTGAAGTCAAGAGAGTGCAGCTCGTAGTCGCGGTGAGCAGCTATGTGCAGCAGTACCCGAAGAGTGGTCATCTTCGGGGTGGGAGAGAAGGTCTGAAAGTAGTCAACTCCCTGCCGCTGACTGAAGCCACGAGCCACGTAACGCGCCTTGAAGACAGGCGGAGAACCCGGCGGCCGCTTCACCCTGAAAATCCACATGCCACTGACGATGTTCGCCCCAGGCGGGGGAACCTCGTCAACGTAGGTGCCTGTGGACTTCCAGGAAGCCATCTCTGCGTCCATAGCTGCCTGCCACTGAGAGGAGTAAGGACCCTCTATCGCCTCCGCGTAAGAGCGCGGAGTCGGGATGTCAAGTGCATCCGGGTCTCCCTCAGGGGTAAGCAGTACGGACACGAGATGAGGTGAAGCAGCAGCCAGACACTGGAACTCCTCCTGCCTGTCCTCAAGGACGTCCGTGCCTAGGGCACACTCACCCCCGACGGACGGAGGACAGACAGACTCAGACTCAGCAACAAGACTAGCAGCGTAGTCTAGACGACAGCGAGCAGCAAAGTCGACGAGCTCAGCAACTAGGGCAGACGCAGCAGTGGACTCAAAGGAAGGGTCAGTGACAACAGTAGCAAGAAGACGCGTGACAGTCGGACTGGCAGCACGAAGGGAGTCCGACTCCGGGTCAGGAAGAGCAGGAAGAGAGGACTCAGGAGGAGAAGGCAAAGGGGCACGCAGAGGAGCAGTGGACGGACGCAGAGACATCCGGTGCGTGCCAGGGACAGGAGGAGGACGCTGACGTGAACCACGACCACTAGTGCGAGCAGCACGGACAGGCGACGCAGGGCGAGACGCAGGCTCACGACGCTCAGTAAGACCTCCAGTAGGACCAGTGTAGGGAGAAGGAGCG